CTCACAGTCATACCCTATATCTACTTGTGACCAACAGCTGCAGGAAGAATGCTGCTATGTCCCAAGGAACTCTGTATTCCACACATTAGAATCCACCTGTGTGCCCGACTCATTCCAGTTACCAGAATTCCATCAACAGAGCAGCCCAGGACCACCAAGTCTCCTTACAAAGATATAATTAGGACCATCAGGTGTATCACTTCCTTTTAAACACAAATATAACAACTCCCTATCACCTGATATAGCAAATAAAAAATTATTCATCCACTACCTTCATCCACTATTCTATCAATTTCCCTGTTTCTTCTCTACTCTAGACCGACACCCCCACATATGGGTGTTCTTCATTCCACAACATGCCACAGCATGTCCATTTCTGCCTTCTGATGCTATATGGGATGCCCTTCCTACATTTCACCTTCAAAGCTGATCTGGAAACTCCTCCATCAGAAAGTCTGAAAAAGATGGAATCATCTGCCTGCTACTCAATGCATATTTAATTAATCCCTGCTGTAACATTGCATAGGAGTTTGTACTTGTCCTTATAATTTCTGTAAAAGGTAAGGTACCACTCTGGTGAAAGGTGCACCTGGTGAGAAGTCAGACTAGGGCTCAATTCCTGATTGCGCCTGTTGGCTCACTTAATGTCCCTGAACCCATGCAGATCTACACCTTGCAGAGTTTGTTAATTGACAACTAAAGAGATGGCACACCAAAGCATAATATAAGGACATTTTGCATTTATTCCTTGTGATGTTTAAGACAAGGTTCTGTACAAGTACTGAAAACCAAAGCAAAAATGGACAAACGGGGTCACATCAAGTTAAAAAGCTTCTGCACAGCAAAAGAAGCAATCAACAAATTGAAAAGACAACACACAGAATGGGAGAAAATATTTGCAAACTACTCATCTGATAAGGGATTAATAACCAGAATATATAAGGATCTCAAGCAACTCTATAGGAAAAAAATCTAATACTCTGGTTAAAAAGTAGGCAAAAGATTTGAATAGACATTTCTCAAAAGAATACACACAAATGAAAAACAGATGTATGAGAAGGTGCTCAATATTACTGATCATCAGAGAAATGCAAATCAAAACTCCAGTGAAATATCATCTCACTCCAGTTAAAAAGGCTTATATTCAAAAGACAGGCAATAACAAACGCTGGTAAGGATGTAGAAAAAAGGGAACCCTCATACACTGCTAGTGGGAATGTAAATTAGTATAACTACTAGGGAGAACAGTTTGGAGATTCCTCAAAAAAACTAAATATTGAGCTCCCATATGATCCAGCAATCCCACTGCTGGGTATATACCTAAAAGAAAGGAAATCAGTTTATCAAAGAGATATCTGCATTCCCATGTTTGTTGCAGCTCTATTCACCATAGCCAAGATTTGGAAGCAATTTAAGTGTCCATCAACAGATGAATGAATAAAGAATAAGTGGTACTTATACACAATGGAGCACTATTCAGCCATAAAAAAAGAATGAGATTTAGTCATTTGCAACAACATGGATGGAACTGGAAGTCATTATGTTAAGTGAAATAAGCCAGACACAGAAAGACAAACATCACAAGTTTTCACTTATTTGGAGGATCTAAAAATCAAAACAATTGAACCCCTGGAGATAGAGAGTAGAAGGATGCTTCCCAGGGGCTGGGAAGGGTAATGGGGGAATGGGGACAGTGAGGATGGTTAATGGGTACAAAAAATAGTTTGAATGAATCAATAAGACCTAGTATTTAATAGAACAACAGGGTGACTATAGTCAATAATAACTGTACATTTTAAAGTAACTAAAAGAGTATAATTGGATTGTTTGTGACACAAAGGATAAATGTTTGAGGGGATGGATACCTGATTTCCATGATGTGATTATCATGCATCGCATACCTGCATCAAAATATCTTGTGTACCCCATAAAGACATTCACCTATTATGTAACTACACAAATTTAAAATTACAAGTTATTTTTAAAAAGAAAAGATTCTGATACAAAGAAATGGTATACATTTAGCCTCTTTTTTTTTTTTTTGAGACGAAGTCTCACTCTGCTGTCCAAGCTGGAGTACAATGGCACAATTTCCGCTCACTGCAACTTCCACCTCCTGGGTTCAGGTGATTCTCCTGCCTCAGCCTCCCGAGTAGCTGGGACTACAGGCACGCACCACCATGCCCAGCTAATTTTGGTATTTTTAGTAGAAACGGCGGTTCACTATGCTGGCCAGGCTGGTTTTGAACTCCTGACCTCGTGATCCGCCCGCCACGACCTCCCAAAGTGCTCGAATTACAGGCATAAGCCACTGCGCCTGGCCTTTTTTTTTGTTTTGTTTTTTGTTTTTTTTTTAAGGAAACAATCTCACACTGATTTGTTTCCCAAAACAGTCGAGGAGAGTTTGAGCTATTATAATATCTATTGGTTCTTTCCAAACATTCTTTTCAGGTAAAGTCAGGTTTAGGTACTTGGTTATGTTCAATTTAACTCTGCGTGACAGAGGCAAGGCTGTGTCCACCAGCCCCCATTTCCTTTTCTAGGAGGCACACATACTTTACTTCCCAGCCACCCTGCTGGGTGGGGCCATGTAACCATGCGCATAAATTCCCGCTAAGGCATTGGGGTGAAAATGATACACAGCACTTCCAGGACTGGCCCCTAATATCTCTGACAAGTTAACCACAGCTAGCCTCCCTTATGTGAGGGCCACAGATTTGGCTACATTACCAAGGCCTCAGGGCATGGTAGAACCACCAAATGCAAGAAGCCTGGTCCTTCAATGAATGCAAGAAGTACAGACCCCACCCTCTGGCCCCAACCAACTTGTTACCACGCTGTGACTTGTATGAACATAAGCCTTTATGGAGTCAAGGTCCGAGATACTGGTTTTGCTAGCCTGCCCCAATGAACACATCTTATATTTATCACCAGTGGTAGCATAAGTGAAAAGAATCCCTGGACTTAGTTCCAGACCCGGGATAAAAATTCTGGCTCTACTACTCCCCCCACGTCCCCCATGACCTGCTCCTAAAATATGCTCTATACCCTTCCCAACTGTATGTCTACTGCATTTTCCTCTTTTTCACTACAGAGCCCTCCCAACTCTTCTCTGCCTCACGATTTCTGTCAGAGGGAGGCCTTCTCTGACCTCCGTCGCATACATGCTCACTTCTCTTTGCTCCAAGTGCAGCGTACATTCCTCTGTTTTAGCATGTACTGTTTTGTTGTAAGTATTTGTTGACGTGTGGTTCCCCAGACTGTGAATCCTTTCTTTAATTTCCCGCATTTAGTTACAGTGTCTGGCGCATGTAGAAAATAAATATGTATTAAAGGAATGGTTGTCACATATGACCTTAAGTGAGTCACTTATTTTTTAAGTCTACTAAATAGAATTTTTCAAAATTGTAATGATGAAATAAGGAATGTGAATGTGACTTGTAGGTTAGAAACAGATTCTAACAGTAATGGGTTTCCTCACTGTTTGTAGGCCCTTCTCATCTTTTCCAGTCAAATCCATCTTAATTCTCCAAGGTAGCACTATCCAACAGAAATATAATGCAAGCCATATTTGTAATTTTAAAACTATCTGTAGCCACATTTAAAAAGTTAAAACCAAGTGAAATTAATTTTAATATATTTAACCCAATATACCCAAAATATCAGTTTTTAAATTAAATCTTCTAAATCCTCAAACACATCTCTGGTCAGACCAGCCACATTTGGAGAGCTCACGTGTCAACTGCGGCTACGGCTCCCGCAAATTGGACAGCAGCCGCAAGGCCTACTTCAAATAGCAACCTGACTTCCCCTTAGGCAGAATGAGTGACTCCTCTTCAGTGTCTCTCAAGCCCTTTATCCTATTGTGTATTGTGAAAACTAGAGAGTAAGCTCCTTGAGGAATTCCAGACTCTTGTCTGGAGAAACCACTCTCGGCCTCGGTCTGGCCTGTATCGGGCCGTTATGCAATTCCAGGTAACTGATGAACCCCTGAGGACACAACTCCGTGGGAGGCCCCGTAGCCAGAGCGGAAAATGGTCAGTCTGGCAAGAGTGCGGGCAAGTGGCCACGGCAGGCTGCGATCCCGGTGCCCACCGCCCTCCAAGCTCCTCGGGCCGTACCCTCCCCAAGGCAGGGGGCGCGGAGGTCCCGGGTTCGGCCAGTTCGGGGGCGCCTCAGCCGCAGCCCCGCCCCCCTCCCACGCGTCTCCCTCCCACGCCCCTCCCTCCCACTCCCCGCGCCTCTGCCGCCGCCGCCGAGCCCCGGAAGCGGGCGGGGATTTCCTGTGCCCGCCCCGCCCGCGCCCGCCGGGCCGCCGTCTCCGCCTGTCTCTGGCTCCGCCGGCCGCCGGCTCCCAGACGCAAGCGGAGGGCGGAGGGGAGGGGCAGGCGGCGCCCGGGAGGGAGGCACCGGGCCGCGGGCCAAGCCGACCGGGGGTGAGTGGAGCCGGGCTGGAAGGAGCTGCGGCTGGAGGGACTCCTGGCTTCCCGGGGCGGCGGGTGGGGGCTCGGTCACCCATGGGGGCGGGGAGGAGGATCGGCGCGGCTTCCGGGTTGCTGCCTTTCCCGGGGGTCTGCCCCGCTGACATTCTGTGCCCGCCCCTAGCCCTGTCTCCCCGTGCCCATCGCAGCTGTCAGGCCCTGCGGGCTTCCGCCGCTGTCACTCGCGCACAGGTTACCCGGTGGCTCCCTTTCTCTTCACTTGCTCATGCCCCAGCTAATGGGAAACCTGTTTTCTGACCTCACTTCCCCTGCTCCACTTCTGCCTTGCTCGGATTCTCTGAAATCTGACCCTTTCCAGGGGCACTGTGACAAGAAGGAGGGAAGAAGAAACCTTACCCCTGAACAGGCTCCCGTCCCGCCCATGCCCCACCCGTGGCAGGGGCCAGGGTTCTCTGATGGACGGAGCACAACTCGACCGTGTGCCCTTGGGCTACTCATTTTTATAACATGGCCCCTTTTCTGTTCATCAGCACTGGCTGCAAAAACTTCCTTTTGCAGGTCCCTTGCTACCCATATGTGTGAAGAAAAGGGGGAAATGAAAGCCCTAGAACGCAGACTCCAGTGGGCATGGGATCATCCTGGAACCAGGAGAAACGAGGTTAGGGCTACCACCTTAACCGCCCAGGTGCTGGCTCTGCGTGAACATCTTAGGAAATGCAGGCTGAGGACAGGTACCCATCCCATCCTTTGCTGAGATTTTTGCTAGCACTTCCACGGATTTCTATCAGTGATATAGAAAGGCTAACAGCTGGCCCAGTGGGCTCTGCAGAAAGAGGCTTCCTATTAAGAGACTCTGCTACCTGCGGGAGATGGAGAAAGGGTTTGAGACAAGTGTCCAGATATGTAGCTAGAGGTAAAGCCTTCAGGGAGGATTTGCACAGGAGCTAGAGAACCAGAAAGATGGGATGAAGAGGGGGAATTAGTGCCCTGTGTGTTAAAAGTGGATACAGAGCTGGAATTCAGAGAAGAGAGCTAAAATAGAAGTTTCCCTTCATTGCTTTAGCAAAAATTTTCCTTTCTCATGAAAAGTCTCTGAAAAGGAAACCTCCAGGGTGCTCCCATGAGGCCCTGAGCCATCTTTGGACTTTTGAGATGAAAGAGGAATTTGTTTTTCCTGTGCATTGGCTTAGGGTTCCCACCTACCTCTTTTGTCAAAGACAAATAGGCAAGAAAATAGATGACTTGACATCTGTCATTACCTACCTTGGCCTTCAAGGTTCTTGCAAATGTTATTAAAAGGATGTAAGTAAGCCAGGATAGTTACCAAATTTCTGACTGCTCTTGGAAGTCTTTCATGGACTCGAGTGTTTGGTTATTGAATAAGAATACCCAAAATATGTTGCCAAGCAGAAAGAGATTCTCAGATCTCAGATTATTTCTCTGCCATAAAGCCCTATCACAACAGAAGTGTGATCCATCCTGCTCTTAAGATGTCCAAAGAAAAAGAAGAGCCCACTATCTGGTTTTGTACACTGCAGGATTATTAATAATTAAAAAATAATAATAACCTAAATCTCTTGCAATCAAGACCCATTTTTTCTGTTCGACCTATGTAGAGATAGAAGGGACCTCTGTTTTTATTCATTAGTAGCATCATTCATCAGGCTTCTCCAGACTGAGAAAACTACATCCGACATTTTTAACTTCCCCAGTGGCTGCATTTCCCATCCCTTTCTTGACTTTCATGTCTTCTGATGAACACACCTGGCTTCTCCATATGCTTCTTTCGAACTGAATATATTTTTCTAACGAGATCTGACTGGTGCCTGACAAACAGGTTTGTTCATCTGGGTCATGTTAGCAGTACTTCTTCCCCCTTTTCCAGCTCTGGTTCAAACTCTTTCTGTTCTTTTTTACTTTTCCTGATTAAACTTCAGCTCCTCACTGACCAACAATTTCTCTTACCTGTTAGGGTTACTTTGGAGTCTTACACCTGCTTTCCAAGTTATTAGTTTTTCTACCGTATTTACTACCAGTTCTCATTGGATGGTAGACCAAGTGCCTTTTTATTGAGGCTTGTCCCAAGTGAGGTACCTTTTGGCTCAGCCTCATGAAAGAGGTGTGTGCTCATGATACAAATACACCCCTTGGTTGGGACTTCTACCTATAGTAATCATTTCATTCTAAACTGATGAGACTGTGATTTGTGGCAGAAAATCTTCTGTGTGATTACATCCATCTTGTTGAGTGCAGGTCTATGTGTATTTCTTCCTGTATGTTTCCAAACTGCTTACTTTCCTGTACTTCATGTGCTTGAAATTAAATGGATAGCCTTTGAATTTCTGGGACAGTTCTTTTTTTTTTAAATGAACTTCTTCTAATCTTCAGGTATATTCTGTTTCCATCATGAGGTCCACAAAATACCAGTTAGTGGCTTTGCTACATAGCACCTGCCAATTTCTTAGTTCCTCCAGGAAGCTTGGTGCAGGCTCAGTTGATCGGAACACATCAAGCTTTTAAAATTCATCTTCCAGCAAGCTCCTTCTATCTAGTTTCATCTATTATCCCTGGGCCTGTTCTTCATAACTCCCTTAGGAATATCACTCTTTTCCCATTTTCATGGGCATTGCTGATATGAATTTGTTCCAGGTCACAATTTGGGTCTGCAGCAAAAATGCTTTCAGAACAGACAGCAGCTCTGGGGACAGGATGGGAATCAATCAATGTACAGCTGGATGGAGCAGAGCCCCAGGTGGAAAGGGGAAGCAAGGAAGAGGGGCCATGGAGAACAGCACCAGGGCCTCTGGAGCACCTGTGCTGCGACCTTGAAGAGGAGCCACAGTCCCTTCAGGAGAAGGGTGAGAGCCCACAGTGTGTGGGAAGCACAGTGCGTAGTCTCCTAATATTTGTTCCAGAAGTAGGGCTAAAAATCTCCAAATTGCCAGGGACTAAATAGCATAAACTATACCAGGACCAGCCCATTCTTTTTGAGACCTGGTCACAGGTACAGAATAGGCTTCTGAATTCAGCAAACCATGCAACTGGGCTTCTCTTGTTTCTTCATAATTACTCCCTCCACATACAAATGCATAATTAGTGATACTGAATGAGGGAGATGAAGGAAATGACAGCAACCTGATTACTGTTGGATAACTCACTCAGTAAGATGCACTTTACTAGATGAAAATTACATTCAAGTACTGTAAATTCAAACTATAGCTAGTCTAACTAAAAGCCATCTGATACCCTTTCAGAACATTTTGAGTGATGGCCCTCTCATCTACATTTGTGCATTTGAGTTTTACCAGCGGGCGTAGATACAGAAGCTGTGGCCCTTAAGCCTCTCTAAAATGGGGCCCAGGCCCTATTGAGAAAGGGTAGATAGTTATTCTCTAATGTTTCTTCTCTCTCCTCATCAGCTCAGTCTGCTCCCTGGGTTCCTGCAGTTCCCCAGGAGGGGAACACTGGAGACTGGGAGATGGCAGCTGCACTTCTTGCAGCTGGATCACAGGTGAGCTCTGCTTCCCTTGGCCTCTCCTGTGGTCCCATCACTGGTGCCTTTGTATTGCTTTCGCAGCAGCCCATTGATGAGTTGGCTCACATGATCATCAATGGTATGTTCATCTTATAACTGAATAGAATCTATCCCTTTCCAAGGGGTCATAAGACCCTTGGAAAATTAAATGGAGCCACAAGAAAGGGAATTCTTGAGGTTAGGGTTTTTTGGGGTTTTGTTTGCTTTGTTTTTTGTTTTTGAGACAGAATCTCACTGTGTCACCCAGGCTGGAGTGCAGTGGTACGATCTTGGCTCACTGCAACCTCCACCTCCTGGGTTCAAGCAATTCTTCTGCTTCAGCCTCCCGAGCAGCTGGACTACTGGCACATGCCACCACACCCGGCTAATTTTTGTGTTTTTAGTAGAGACAGGGTTTTGCCACGTTGGCCAGGCTGGTCTTGAACTGCTGACCTCAGGTGATCTGCCCACCTCAGCCTCCCAAAGTGCTGGGATCACAGGTATGAGCCACCGTGCCTAGTCAAGGTTAGGGTTTTTAATGGATGGCTGTGTTTGTTATCCACAGGAGGATGTTAAGAATAATTACCTTCCCTTAGGAAATAAATCTGGAAAGATTAGGAAAAGAGGACCTGAAGAAAGCTTAGAAGAACCTAAAGTGGAAGGATTGGGTGGATAATGGAACATTTACGGAAAAGAAGAGGAGGAAGGATATAAAGAGGGGCAGAACCTGGGAGGAAAATAGGTTTAGATTCAGAAGGCAATAGGAGAGCTGTGGAAAGCTAATAATAATAGTGTTAGTACTAATAGGAGTACACCCCCAGAGTGCTTATCACATATGCCATTTTCTGGATGCTTTATGTATATTAACTCATGTAATTCCGAGAACAACTCAAGTTATCCAATTTTACAGATGAGAAAATGGGGCAGGGAGAGATTAAGGCACTTGTATAGGGTCATGCTGTGAGAAACTGGCAAAGCTGAGTCACTTGGCTTCAGATTCTGAGCTCCTAACCAGCATACTGTGCTGCCTGAAAATATAAAGATATGGCCAGGCACGGTAGCTCACGCCTGTAATCCCAGCACCTTGGGAGGCCGAGGTGGGCGAATCACGAGGTGAGGAGTTCAAGACCAGCCTGGCAACAACATGGTGAAATCCCGTCTCTACTAACAATACAAAAAAATAGCTGGGTGTAGTAGTGGGTGCCTGTAATTCCAGCTACTCAGGAGGCTGAGGCAGGAGAATCGCTTGAACTTGGGAGGTGGAGGTTGCAGTGAGACGAGATTGCGCTACTGCACTCCAGCCTGGGTGACAGAGTGAGACTCCGTCTCTAAATAAATAAATAAATAAACAAAAAACAAAGCAAACAAAACCCCAAAAAACCCTAACCTCAAGAATTCCCTTTCTTGTGGCTCCATTTAATTTTCCAAGGGTCTTATGACCCCTTGAAAAGGGATAGATTCTATTCAGTTATAAGATGAACATACCATTGATGATCATGTGAGCCAACTCATATCTTTAATGCTGTGGCAAGGGAGGCAAGAAAGAATGTTTTATCTGTAGCATTTTGTGCTGATAGAAAAGGCAAGGTCCAGTGGAAGGAGGAGGAAATGGTACACAATTTCTTCTTCAAAAGAGTAAGGCCAAGGAGAAGTGACTGAGTAGACACCTGTCAACAGAGGGGGTGATGAGTTTGTGGTGCCTCCAGCTTCTCATGGCCCCACTTGGGAAATTCCCCCAGTAACATTACACTCACTCACTCCTTGACCATCTACCTTCACTCCTCATTTCCCCTTTACCAAAACTGTGTGCCCTACCCAGGGACTTCTGGGCACCTCTTTTCTCAGATCATTTCTCACCCTCTCTCCTCTACTAAATTAGCCTTTCATACTGAATCACATTTTCCTTGAAAAACAGCTGCTGACAGAAGATGCTACATTTTGTTTCAGGGCCTGGTAACCATCAAGGATGTGTCACTGTGCTTCTCTCAGGAGGAGTGGCGGAGCCTGGACCCCTCTCAGACAGACTTTTATGGAGAATATGTCATGCAAGAAAACTGTGGGATAGTAGTCTCTCTGAGTAAGCATGACCTTCTCCAGCCACTAGAAGATTATACTCTGGGAGGACAGAGCCATCTGCTTCAGGGCTGTTGGATAGTGTCTATCTAGAACCCCTTCTGTGGCAGGGAATCTCTCTATGCTTCTGCCAGAGAAAGAACACTAGGGCCAATCCCAAGAGAATGAGAGAGTAAAACATCATTAAAAAAAATAAATAAAAAAGCAATTGATGCTGAACTGTGGAGTACAGAACTTGAGGTTTTTCTTAGTTGGGAATTAGGAGGTTCTCACAAAGCAGAGAGAACTGGAACCGCGTCCTTGTAAACTTGGGAACCATATAGAGGAAGACAGGGATGCAGGGGGTAGGACTGTTGTAGGAGGACTAAAGTGAAGTTATGCCCAGAAAGGCCATTTAGGCTAGAAAATCTGAGTGGAAGAAAACAGGTTCATTGGGAAGGAGAGTGATTTTCTAGGCAGAGAAGAGGGACTTAACAGAGATGGGTGGGGGAAAAGGTTGGGGTGGGGAGATGTTTCTTTCTTGACCTTCTTTTGTCTAGAGTTCCAAACAATAGGAAACAGTTTTTTGTTTGATGGTTTCAGAAATATAGAATTGCTGTTGAACTAATTGACAGCTCTGTTTTCCTTCCCCACGAGCAGGATTTCCAATTCCCAAACTGGACATGCTTTCTCAACTAGAAGGAGGAGAAGAACAATGGGTCCCTGACCCCCAGGACTTAGAGGAGAGGGACATTCTGAGGGTCACATATACAGGTAAGAACCTAGAATAGGCTTTCAGCCGTTTCCTTCACAGTTCAGGGCATCATCATTCCATGTTCGTCTCATCCCTACTCTGCCTCAGAGAGTTCCAGAGACGAAAGGTTTAGAGATCTTTTTCTTCAACAGCAAGGGAGCGTAGCAGCATGGTGTAGTAGGCACTTTGTGGATTGGAATTCTAGACTGTACTTGTGGGACCTTTGAAAAGTAATAAAACTCCCTTTGGTTTCTTCATCTGTAAATTATTGTGAAAATTAAATATACGAATATATTAGAATATTAGAACAGAACAGTGCCAAGCACGTAATAGGCACTCAATAAATGTTAGTTGTTGATATTGTTGTCAACCTCCCACCCATTTCAAGAATGCGTTGAGGATTGCTGACAGTTGTCATTCAGCCAGTGACAATTGCAGCACATTCTGTAACCCTCTCCATCTATGCTTAGATAGAAAGATGCTGATTAATAGTAATATATAGTAGTAAATAAATAATGGTAATAAATAATAACAATAGCATATACCATTTACTAAGTACTTAAACTATGTGCAGGTCCTGTGCTATCTATCTTATAACCACCTGAGAGAGAGGTATTTCTTCCCATTTTACAGAAGAAATGAAGGTTTAGAGACGTTAAGTGGGAAAGCTGAGATTCCATCTTGGGTAATCTGCCTCCTAAGCCTAGGCTTTTAACCTCTATATCTGTTGCACTATCTTGTATGACATTAGACTATGTTCTCTCAGCCCTTCTGGGGTCAAGTCTGGGCACTGGCAGGTATCAGACAACCTCATTTGTGACTTAGGAAATGTGACTCTTCTCTTGGGGTTGGTATTTCCCCTTCTCCACAGGAGATGGAAGTGAGCATGAGGGGGATACCCCTGAACTAGAAGCAGAACCTCCCAGAATGTTATCCAGCGTTTCTGAAGATACTGTTCTCTGGAACCCAGAGCATGATGAGAGCTGGGATTCCATGCACAGGAGCTCCAGAGGAATGCTCCTGGGGCCCCCTTTTCTTCAGGAAGACAGCTTCTCAAACCTGCTGTGTAGCACAGAGATGGATTCCCTGTTAAGACCCCACACATGCCCCCAATGTGGGAAACAGTTTGTGTGGGGCTCCCACCTTGCCAGGCATCAACAAACACACACTGGGGAGAGGCCCTACAGCTGCCTCAAGTGTGAGAAGAGCTTTGGGCGAAGACATCACCTCATCAGGCACCAGAAAACCCACCTACATGACAAGCCCAGCAGGTGCTCTGAGTGTGGTAAGAATTTCCGATGCAACTCCCATCTGGCCAGCCACCAGAGAGTGCATGCAGAAGGCAAATCCTGCAAGGGCCAAGAGGTTGGAGAGAGCCCTGGCACAAGGAAACGGCAGCGTGCCCCACCAGTGCCAAAGTGTCACGTGTGCACTGAATGTGGGAAGAGCTTTGGCCGAAGGCACCACCTTGTGAGACACTGGCTGACCCACACTGGGGAGAAGCCCTTCCAGTGCCCTCGCTGTGAGAAGAGCTTTGGCCGAAAACATCACCTGGACAGGCATCTGCTGACCCACCAGGGACAAAGTCCCCGGAACAGCTGGGACAAAGGAACATCTGTCTTTTGAAATCTGTTTCCACTACAGCTATGGTCAAGTCTATCAGCTGGTGCTACTAGGAGTCACTGCCAGGGCTGCCGTTCTTCTGAACCCCAGGGGCCAGAATCATGAGCCCTAACCCCATGCCTAGAAAGATGAGGTCCCAGCAGTGGCCAGAGCATTTCTCACCAGTTCTGTGAGATAGCACATAAAAATAGAGTTCTTTGGTCAAAACTTTTGGGAAGCAATGCATCCTACATGGGCTGATATTCAGCCTGAGCCATTCTCAAGAGGAGAGTGGTACTGGCAGTTTATGCGTGAAATCCATTCTGATTTGTTGGAGTCTATGGTATACCAATTGTTAAATATTTTGAGTATCACTTTTGCATACTGTTACTATTTTCTCTCTCTATATAGAGAAAGGCCATTTTAGCATAGTAAAGGCTCTGAAAATTTCTGCAGTAGACCAAACTGAAGATTCTATTAATGTAGTGTTTCCTAAATGTATTTGACCTCAGTATCCTTTCTATTTGCATCCCACAGAACTGGTGACTATGAAACACTCTGGTGAACACTGGGTTAGAGATCAATGAGGAAATGAGACTTAGTGATCAGGCATCCAGAGCCCCTCCTTTTATCCATATGAAAGCCAGCGGGGCCAGGCCTTGTTTCTGTGTGGGTCTGTCTGCCTTACCCCAGTCAGCAGCATATACATCTACACCTCTCACCCTCACCTGCTGAAAAACATAATAACCTTTTTGCCCCTTATTCCTACTCCCTTCATCCTGCACATACATATATCCAGCTGAGAAATCACACTACAAGGCTAAGAGATGACCTAATACCCCCAAATAACCCAGGTCCACACAGGAAAAAAAAAAAAAATTATCCTCTTGAGCAGACCCCTCTCTCCTCTTGACTGTCTTTTTGTGTCTTGTGTATTTGTGTGCAGGGTCTTTGAAGAGAGCATGCTATGTGCAAACTGTACAAGCTAGGTTTTCTAGGGGCTGTGTTCTGGGGATGAGGGCAGTGGGGATTATATGGGTTTCTGTTTCAAGACAGGAAGCAGTCTGATTAGGGAGCACTAGTGGAAAGGGTTAAATGACAGGTTAAGTTGTGGGAGTTGAGTACAAAGATTTCCCAGTTATTGCTGAGATCAAGACAGTTGTGAATGTGTGTATCTAGGTCTGAATCTCTGGGCTGCAGATTGCTTTTAACTGGGCAGAGAAAAGTCTGGGGAGGTGAGCTGTTTCTTGTTGATTTCAGGCAAGAGGCACAGAAACTTTGTATTGAGTGGGGATTTTGTTTTAAGTGCTGGAAAATTAGAGCAGGAATTACCATGTTTGCAAGTTGTTGCCATCACTCTTGTTTGACTTTGCCTCATCAAGGGGCAAGAGTTATTCTTGAAGATCTCATTCTCCCAGAAACAGAACTTTAGGGGAAATGGCTGTGGCTTAGCTTTTCAGCTGATGCAGGGTAATGAGCTTTCTGGTTGGTTTTCCTTCCATTTCTGGAAAGATGTCCACACTGAGACCCTTAACTCTAGGGCTTGCATAAGTATTCTAGCATTGTTAGTTGGTCATTTTTTCTCTTTATCAGTGATTGTGTTAATATCAATCTTATAACTTAAAAATTGTCTTGTATGCAAGAGCAGTTTGGTGTTAGGGAGGAAGAGGAGCAAAGTGGGATATTTTCTTTTTAATGGTTAGATATTGTTTCTTCCCTAAGATGTGTTTCGCAACCACAATTGGTGGAGTGAACCAGAGAGGCAAGAGGAAGTGAGTTGCAACAATTTAGTTTAGTGACTGTGCCTTTTGCAGGAAAAACTGGGTGAATCACAGCTCCTCAGAGTCCTGGACTCAATTAGAATTTAAGATAGACTTATTTTGCTGACTGGGCTTCTTAGAGTTTATGTGACTTGAGCAGCTTGGCCCCTGCCTCCTGCTACTCTGAGCAGCCTTCCTTCTTCCTGGAATGCACTTCTCTTGTTTATGATCCTATGAATAAGGCATAATGGACGGCCTTTGTAAGGCAGGTCTTGCCCTAGGTTCTCAGAATCAGGAGCATTTTAGGATCAGTATTAGGAGATGCCCCAGGGAGTAAGAAAGCATTGGGTTCTGATAAATCTGGACTCTGCCACTTCTTTTACTCTCCCTCTTTAAGACTAAAAGCTCTGCATAAGCAATGGTTCAGAACATGTCTTGGGTACAGACCTGTTGAATCTGACAGAAACCAGAAACTCACTTTTGAGAAAAAGACATTTGTAATTCACTCAGTTTTGCATACACATTTAGCAGGTTCAAAGCCTATCTGTGGAATCCCTAAACTGCCTTCAAAGAAAGGGAGTTACCCTGATCTAAAATGGTCATTATATATTTGTGTCAAGAGGCAAGGGTCACTAAATATTTTAAGGATTAAGGTACCAGAGGCATCAGTGTATAAGGATATAGTCTGGTCTTTAATTATGACAAGGGTATTGATTACATTCTACTCTCTGGGTTTCAAAAAGATCTGACATGCTGACAAATCCAGCTCCTCACAAATCTTGTTTGAAGGACTTGTGGGAAGTGGTATTCCTTACTATTAGATCACGCCTCTTAATAACTACATGTTAACGTCCAGCCTTTTATCTGTTTGAGTAATTGTAGGGATAGAAAGTGAAGCCCCCAGAGTTAGGTGCAAGTATAGCACCCAGCTGAAAGGCATCATGGAGTCTAAGGACCTTCTACAGAAGGGGCAAACCTTTGGGTTATTTCTGGTGTACCGCTGTCTTCTCTACCTCGGTCCAACACCACCTCCCTTGGACGAAAAATAAAACAAGCAACAGCTATCAGATGAGTGAATAGATTTGAATGATTTTTCCCACAGGGAATAAGCCTCAAATGTTCATGTTTCATCCTGTCCCCTTTAAAGAGTCTCTATGTTCTCTTTGGGCAAAATGTAAAACAGGGACATCCATCTTCAGGAACTTGTCACATTTTTTCCATCTGTGATGCCTCCACCCTATTCTGAGTATCCTCCCCTTTCCACCCCAACATAGTATCTTTCAAAGAATTCCTTGCATGGGATAACGTATCCCAAAGTGTTAGCTTTTCACAGGGCTATTTACACTTTAAGCCGTAGTTCTCACTGTAGAAGGAAAAACTTTTCCTTTGTCAAAGTAATGTTATGGCTTTAGAGAACTAAAGAGGTGATAATTTGGGACAAAATTCCTTCCTTTCTAACATTCCTGCAATCAAACTACTGTTTCCTATTTCCATAAAGGGCAGGTCCTGACTCAGACCTAGAGGCACCAGAAGGCCAGTTCTTTCCATCTCTGTATTAGGATGAATGCACTGAATGGGAGTGGGTGGGGCTGGGCAATAACACAAAAGTGAAATCCATTTATTTAGAGCCTTAGAGAGCCTCAGCTAGCAAAATTTCACTCTGTTCCCTTGTGTACCATACCAAACTGTGGCTCTCAAAATTTGGTCTTTGGGCCAGCAGCATAAATATCACCTGGAAACTTGTTTGAAATGCAAATTCTTAGCCCCTGCCCCAGGAGAACTACTGAATCAGAAACTCGGGAAGGAGCTCAACATTCAGTCTTTTAACATGCCCTCCAGGATGTGTGATACAAGCTAAAGTTTGAGAACCACTGGCTAGGGGATTCATATTTCAAGCAGTGGTACCTCACTGTTTTCAAATGGATCTTCACACTCCTGTTGTCAGGTTTATTCTCTGCAGCCTCACTAGGCTAGACCTCAGTTCCATTCCCCTTAGTTGCAAGGTCTTCTTCCACTCTTAAATCAGTAAAAGAACTGGGGCTAGTCACCAATATCAGAAACTGTGGTGGGGCAACTACCAAGCCCCTATGATTGATTAGGGCTGGGGCTTCCAATATGGGCACTGAGGATACTTGGGTCCAGAAATCTGAAAGGACAGAAAGGAACAAACAACTCAAAGATAGAAAATCCCACGTAAAACTGAAAAACTGACATCCAAGGAAATGTTTCCCCTTCGCTTTGTCCTTTTCACTGGCTCTTCTAATAAAAGGCAGGTGGAGTGGGCACCTAGCACAAAGGTAGAGTAAGGCCTGCTATGCCAAGCCCTTAAGGACCCATGTTTTCCAACATAAAAATTGGATTAAAGACCAACGAGGGGCCATGGAAGGGATTTCTAACCATGATTTGGCATACCCTATGGGCAAGGGCAGCAGGAACGTCAGAGTAACCAGGGCACAAGAGGGAACTAGGTTTTTCTAGTAAGATTTGACACAAGCAAGATTTAAATCCAGACTCTGCTTACTAGGTAGAGGTTGTAACCAATGAAGCCATGGTACCCAAAATGCATTCTGTTGCTTAGAAGATTCTGACAGATTCAGGCTGTGGGGAGGAACCTGCCTTGCAGTCTCTGACCCTGCTACCTCCTCCAGTTCCTCTCCCAGGTGCACCTATGAGGATAGACTGAACTGACAGTTACAATTCTGCCCACAGGGCTTCTCCATGGTCAAAAGATTAGACCCCTAGGCTGAGACTTTCTTCAACTCCAGGCCTTATGCTCTCTCCCTCTTTCCTTCCACCACCTCCATTTTCCCAACAGGCAGCATTCTTCCTCTACTCTTTGTTCCTACTCTTTTTCAGATTTTTTGTTTGTTTGAGTTTTGCCTTGTTCTGACTGAGCAATAACATGCCTTTCCAAGGGCATTTGTTCTCTCCAATCCCCATCCTTCTTCCATTCTAGTTTCTCTCTTCAAATTTCTGGCCAATTCTATTCCATCATGAGCCCACTTACCACCTATTCCTCTGCCTACTGTTCAGTTTCTTTTCTATCAGCTTTAAGCCTACTAAGCAGGGGTCAATTCATACTTCCCACTCTCATCCTCCAAATTCTTGGTTTGGCTATAGCAATTCATCAGCCTCCTCACCACTCTGCCCCTTTCTCATACACACCCCCACAGGACACCACCACCACTCCACCCCCTGCCTAGTACTGGCAAATCTGATCCCTCCATTTCCTAGACGTTCTTCTTCCTTTCAGATAACTTCCAAAGTTGTTTTCCACTTTTCACCATTTTTAATTTACTTCCTTCCAGTCTCCTGTGACTCCTGAGAATCAAACTCTTAATTCTACAAGCAATTTTTTGTGTCCTTATTACGTGCCAGGCACTGGAATTTCAGGCCTGGGAAATCAAATGTGACCCTTGCTCCTGCTCTCAGTGTGTTCTTCAGTCAAGCCCTCCCCCACTTTCCTGCCTTGTATCTTGCCACCAGGCACCTGGACATCCTCTTCCAGGAAACTCTGGGGATGAATGCCCACTTGCCATGCAGCCCAACTGCTCCGTGCCTATCAGATTTCTAGCTATTATCTGAATTGGTTCCTTCTGATGAACTGTGAACTTCCTTGGGTTACCCAACAGGGGACTTATGGTCCCTGTCAGTTTAATAAAAGTGTTGGCTGTGTCACTTATTTCTTCTCTAGGTCTTCTCCTTCACTTTTCCCTCCATTCCTGCTCTTTGCTCCTGACAAAAAGACTACCACAGAACGGGGGAAGATAAGCCACAGAATCTTCTGAGAACCATCTCATCTCACTGCCTGAAACATAAGCCTCCAGACAACAGGTTGGGCCTCGCCACCTCCCTCTGGCATCCTGGCCCCCATATGCTCCTGAGTCAGCCAGACCCTCGATCCAACCTGGAGAGGCTGGAGGATTGGGTTGGTGGTCTACTCCCAGGGAGCACTTCAGCAGCAGACTACTGAGCAGGGCCAGGACTAGGGAGATCGCCCAGCATGTGAGTTTAAGGAGGCCCTCAGTTTCAAGGGCTGCAAGGGCTGACCTTGCTCTTGAAGATCTAAGAGTGCTGAGCTCGAGTCTGGAGCCACCAAGTGGTGGCGGTAGTGAGTGCGACTTGACCCCCTTAGGCATGTTCGCAGTAATTGGATATTCCTGGGATTGAGAGGATAGGGTAGGGTAGGAAATGGTTGTGGGAGAAAACATGGAAAGCAGGTGTGGAGGTAGGGTCAGAAGCCACTGTCCATTAACTCAGTGACAAAGCCTCCCCTCTTGGACAGGAAGGGCCTGTGGTGAGTGCAACTCAAAGGCGTGGCTCTTCCTCTACAGGAGTTGCCTTAAAAAGCCTCAAGCCTATTGCTTAGGGGATGAATGATCCTCAGATGCCTTGCAGCTTTCCTTACCCCAGCCAGATTGTTTTGTTGCCCCGGGCCTCATAAGTTTCCTTATTTTCTTGTGTTCACTCTTACTTCCCCTCGGCCACTTGGAGTCTGGTCTCTTCCATCACCAAAAAGGGAAGGAGGTAAGGGAATTGAGAAAAGGGAAAAGAGAAACACAGCCACTATGACTGTCCACTAGCTAGAAATCTGGCAGGCACAGGGATGATATAAACTCCCACCAACACTGTAGATGAGTGCCTGTTTCCCCACAGCCTTACCAGTAGAGTAGGCTCTCAAACATTTGGATTTTTGCCCATCTGATTAAAAATACTTTTTATTTTTTTTGGTATTAATGTGTAGTATAGTTTAAATATGCATTTATAAACTGGACCTTTTCATGTTTTTAAAAGGACATTTTTGTTTCTGTTAAGTGTTTTTCAAACAACCATTGAATATTTGTTCTAGAGGACATCTAACATTCGTTACAACTCAAGTCCAACAATGATGTGATCAACATTACACTAAGCAGTTGAGGTAAAAGAAAAGCAAAGAATTGGGTCAGGGTCATTCAGTTTGCTCTGACTAAAGTTAAATACCCAAATGTGCCACTCAAATGTGAGCTCAGAAAAGTGGAGATTATGTTTTATCCATTTTAGTATTCTCAGCACAGGGCCTAGAATCTTGCAGGCACTTAGTCATTAACGAATACTAGAGATGAGATTAGCTGTTCTTGGGAATGCCTCTGGCTGAGTACCCAGCCAACATTATGATCTTGATAATCTGGGTAGCTTGCTAACGAGATATGGTCATTTCTTATATTTCATTGGAGTACAGCCACCCTAAAGCTTATCAATGAAAAATAATCTGAGATGACCATTGTTAGCTATATAAGGTCAAGATCTGGGTCTCTCATGTCTGCTACTGTTCCTGCATATGGTGGGCACTTAATAAATTGGATACATTTTGGTGAATGAATGGAAGTTTGAAATGAAGAAACCATCATAAAACAAATATAAGTGTGATGGTTTTTAGGAAATCTAGAAAACAAAATTTTCCCAGTATCATTAGATACTTAGAAGAAAAAGACTAATACTAGACCACCTAGTATTGCAGCCTTCTTACTCAGTTTAGTGAGGTCTGAGTTCTTGTCCCACGACCAAGAAGAAGGCAAGTGGACACCAGAGAGTGAGTAAGGCAGAGTAGCATTTACTAAGCAACAGAAAAGCTCTTAGCAGCAAGAGGGGACTCAAAAGTGGGTTGCCAGAAATGGGGCTGAGTTATGGGTTTTTTATGTGGCAAAACGAAGTCTTCTGTGGTTTCTGTCATAGTGGGAGGGGTAAAGTTCCCCCAGGGGTGTTGCACCATAGTGACTCCATCTTGGTTATTACCCAGGCGCCTTAGTGAAACCCATGGTGGTGGGGAGGTGCCCAAACCACAGTGCTAATGATATTACAATTAACTCTGGGTCGTGTTCAGGACATTTAGTTGATTTATTGTGCCTGTGCCTAAGTTGGGACAGTCCCTTCTGAGCAGACATCCTGGTATAAGAAGAAATTCTTAACCACATTTCCATCTGCTAGTTACACCGTAGGGACAATACAGGTGCAGTCCCACGGGCGCTGTCTCTCTCCCAAGACCCTCCCTCTCTATCTACCTAGCCAGCCTCTAATTGCCTCCTCTCTCACTGGTTCTTTAGGTAAAAACATCCTAAGACTGGCTATCATCAGGGTACTTGATTAACTTTATTCTAATTGTGTTCAGTAGACCATGTTTGATTTTCTCATTGCCTCTTTTCAGAGGCCTTCTTCCACTCA